CAATTTTTTTCTTTTTTTTTTTTTTGTTAAAGAAATTAAATTAAAAAGACGTCCCTGCCTGTTTAAACTTTTACTACTTTGTTTCATATTTTCACAGCACACAGGTACCCCTCTGGGACTGCAATCTTTCTGCAGCTGAGCAGCTCTGGTGTAAAGGCCCAGCCTGGCAGTGGCTTTCTGGTGTGAGGCTGCTGCAGCCTACCTGTAGCAAGGAATTCCAAGAGCTGAGCTTAAATGGAGACAAAAAGCACCAAAGACATGATTCTCCATCTCTGGAGAATCAGCAGCAGATTGCAGGTATAGGATAAATAAAATTAAAAATGAAGATAATAGTACCACAGCTGTGGAGCTCAGATATGATGAAATGTGCAGGGTCTGATAGTTCTGCTTCTTTTTTTTTTTTAAATCTTGTTTTTATTTTAGGTTATGGAAATTTGTGACCAGCATGACCTGGCTCATGACTATCACAACACTGAAACTAATCTTGACAGACTGATTTCTTGTGAGAGTCACAGCAGGATTGTTATTGGGTTAGGAATTCAAAATAAAAAAATTGATAAACTATTCTGTTATACAAGTGAAGAAAAAACACATAAAATCTCAATATAATAGAGAAATGGTATGTGTGTGTATATGTATAAAAATATATTTATGAATGCTCTTTTAAGACATATAATTATACAGCTTTTCTCTCATATTGACCTACAGCTTTAACATTACACGATCACAGAGTCAAAGAGGGTATTTGAGGACCAACCCTCTCTCATGTAGCCAATACCTTAGTGGTTAGGGCCTGGGCGTTGGGAAGTGGGAGACTAATATTCACCTTTCTGCTGAAAAGGGACTGCCAGGCACAGGAAGTTATAAAGATGACCTGAAAACGGCAGAGTAATGCCTCTTTTACACTCCTTAATCAAATCCTAGGAGGATGAATTTGCGTAATTGCAAAGGGAGATAAACACAGCTTGAATGACAACTGTGATAGGGAAAAACATGTCTGAAAAAACGTTGTGGTATTGGGGGGAGAAAGCTTAAACCGTGGTGCTCTGTGGGGAACAGGTGAGGGTAGAGAGGAGCAGTGTCTTGTGGCAGAAAGGCTGCCAGCATAGCCAGGACAGTGACAAATACTTGCACCAACGAGGGCAGAAGATTGCTCTTCCTGAAGGCACTTCTGGGGTTTAATTCCATCACCTGTGCCACAAGCAGAGCATCATTAAAAGTGAGAGCCATTAGAAAAACCACCAGGGTATGCAAAATGCCACCAGGTTCTCCAGGTGAGTTCGGCTGAGATGTGGGTGAAGAAAAACAGGGTGAGGTAAATCCTTAGGCATGGGAGTCATCAGCAAAAAGGTGGGAGTTGAAGCCTTAGAAATAGAGGAGCTCAAGGCTGTGCACCAAGCTGGGAGAAATTAAAATTTAAGGGTTTAGAGTAACTTTGACTTATGTAACTGGAAGAAAGGTGAGACTTGAAATGCCTGCGCATGAGGCCAGCCACAGTCAGGCCTCCGCATGTCCTGGGGGCCGAAGCCTGCGGCGGGGCTGGGGCCAGAGTGGCCTTGCAGAGACCTGCACCAGGCTAGGTTGCCTGAGCCGGAGAGCAGGAATATGAACTTTGCGTTGGCGCTTCTGGAGCAGCCCTTCGCTGCTCCTCTGCTCTGCTCTCACCTGCACCCAGCGGGTGGAAGGAAACCTGCGGAGCGGCGCTGGGGCTCGCCAAGGGGAAGGAACACGAGGAGCATCCCGGGGCAGGCAGCAGAGCTCCGTCCCCCCAGCTCCAGGACGAGCCATGCCCCTCCTGGGGGCGGCCCCTCGGCGGGCACAAAGCTCGTCTCGGCCGCCGCTGGCGGGGCTTTGTTCCCCTGTCCCGGCGCGTCCGCCTCCCGC